TTTTGTTTTGTTTTTGAACTTTAACTGAGCAATGGTTTAAAGAATCTCAACATTTCTCATAAATTTTAAACTCGTTTTGAATGAGTAATACCTGGGGTCTTCAAACAAAGTCCCTGTTTCAGTCCTCAGCTAGTCACTTTGTGTCAAATGCAGAGTGTCCTGTGAGGCTGTAGCCAACAGATGTGTGATTGTTCATTTTCAATAAACTTTTGCATCTTGGTTTATCTTGAGGTTTTCTTTGCTGTCTCTCTTCCTTAAAGGTTTGTGTTGACTTTCTCATGCCCTGAGAATCATATTAGTACTTAAAGCATCAGACTGTTAAGAGTCAAGGGTCGAGAGCTGGGCATGGACCTCAGAGGCCATTTGGCCTAAGCCCCTCATTTTGGAGATGAGGAAATTGAGTCAAGAGAGGCCAATGATTCCCCCAAGGGCAAAGCTTGGGATATGAAAAGGAAGCCTAAGGATTTGGACTCAGGGCTTTCTAACTCAAAGTCCTGCTTTCTATCCATCATCTTCTCTAGCTCCCTCTCAAACCTGAACCATCCTGTCAATTTTGTATCCTAAAAGGCTACCAGAAATTAAAGTTAGAATCTCTGGCCTCTAGTAGAAACTGTCTAATGACCTGTAGTAGACACTCTTCACTTCTCCCTGTGATACACCTTTTAGTTATTCCCCCTCAATAGAGGTGACTGGCAGTGACTCAGCCATCACACCCACCAATTCTTCCAGTCCCCAGTGATGAAGTTCATCTGGGCCAGGTGACATAGATTCATCAAGACCACTGGGTGCTCTCTTATGCTTTCCTTATGTTTGGATGATTTTAAGTAAGGAACCTATCCTTGACTAAGGTCCTTAGCACCTAAGAACAAGTGAGAAAACCTTGGTTTCCTTGAATATTCTTTAAAAAATGTGTAATTTTCACTTTCTTATATAATTTTACTTTTTCTTTCCTTGTTTTTAATTTCCCCCCTTATCTCAGGTCCAGACTTAGACTATTTTTAAGCAGTGGCCTATCTTTATTTCTATCAGAGTTTCAAGGACTCATCCTTTGAAGTAGACATGTAAATGATACTCTCCATTCATTGATCTAACTAGTCTTTGTTACTGTAAGGGTTAAATGGTAATCAATATTTAGCCAAAGGTTGATACCAAAGCTACTATGCTCACATATGCTCCCATAGGATCATTGCACCAATCTACATTTTCTAGATGGGGTTTTTCACAAGGTTGGCTGGTGCTTTGGGCCTAGCTGCTAAGGAGAAAGAGGATGCCCTTGTATGGAGAAGATGCCCCTGGAAAGCACAGGCCCTTAGGGAGCCCAGACGCTCCTCATTTTATCATATCCCTGTTGTAGTCACTTCATCATCCTTCCCAAATCCCTCTGCTGTAGGTCCCTGTTTTGTCTTTTTCACCCTTAATCTTAGCCAAGGTTTCAAACATGACCTTCTGAAAATCTGGGAAGGACAAAATGGTCTTGGTAAAGATGAATGGAAATGTTTGGAAACTCAGCCTTTAGAATGGAAGCCACGGTGAACTCTCCATGAGTGCAGCAGAGACATCAGGCGAACAGCAGAGCCAAAGCAAAGGGAAACTACCCCCCATGAAAAACTGAAGCCTTTTGGGGTCTTTTATAGAACTCCAGTTTTTGTTTTCTTTCTTTGTTTTTTGCTACCTTCCCCCCCCATCTGAAACTCCCCAGCCTTAATGATTCTTCCTTCCTTGTACTCCTCAGATGCAGAGTGCTGGCATGTTCTTACCACCTTCCCACTTATCAATATCACTCTCAGAAAAGGATCTCACAAACTCAACCACACTCAAGTGTCAATGGTTCATAAGGTTTTATAAGTTACTTTTCTGAGACAATTGGAACTAATTTTTGCAGGGATCAAGAGGTCATATGGCAAAGTGACCACTTGCTGGTTGTAGACTTTCAAGCATCAGTCAAACAAAATGGTCATGAAGGTGCAGTGTGTGTGTGTGTGTGTGTGTGTGTGTGTGTGTATGTGTGTGTGTGTGTGTGTGTATGTGTGTGTTTCACATGAGGGCTCTCTAAAGTCCATGAAATCTCACCTGCAAACACACAGAGAAAGCTCACTTCTTGTTATTTTCCTTTTCTCCCTTTTTCCTCCTCTCCATAATTCTATTATTCTACTCCTTCCTTCTATCCTTCTATTCCCTCCTTTCTAACTTTCTTTCTTTCTCCTTCTATTCCCTGTTTTCCTCTTCTTCCCTTCTTTACTCTATTCCTTCAATTTCCTTCTTTCTTCCTTCTCTTCCCTATTTTCTCCCTCCCTTACCTCTCTCATTTCCTTCTTCCTTTCCTTACTCTGCCTTTTTTCTTCTTTCCCTTCCTTCTCTCCTTCTCTATCTGATTCCCTTCCTCCTTTTTTCATTTTCTTTCTTCCCTTCTAATCCTCTTCTTCCTTTCTTCCCTCCCTCCTCCCTTCATTTCTTCCCTCTTTCATTCCTTCATTTCTTTCCCTCCATCCTTCCTCCTTTCTTCTCTCCTCATTCCTTCCTATCTTTGCCTTCCTTCCTCCTTCCCTCCATTCTCCCCTTCCCATCTTCCTTTTATGCCTTCTTAACCTTTGTCTTCTTTCCCTGACTCCTTGCTTCTGTCAGAATGTTGATACCAGCCAAGGTTTGCTCCTTTTGCTGGAAGGGCTCCCCATGCAACTACATATTCACTTGCAAAAAGCGCGTGGGGTAAAATGGTTGAAATGCCCAGTTCTCTTAGCTAAGTACCGTCATTTCACCTTCCCCATTTGTGCTCCCCCCTCTTCCCTCTCCCGAAGGAAAGCAGAGATCTCTTATTTTCTTGCATTCTTCTAGATCCCGCTGATTTAAAAAAAAATATTTGACAGCTTCTAAGCATTTTATGTCATCCCCATTCACTGTGTCACCTACATGTTCTCCTTCCTGGATTCCCTGTGGGCCTTTATGGTATGCAGGAGTTTAGGTTTGTGGCAACTCCGATCACTTGTTACTTCTTAGCTGAAGCATGGCCATTATCCCCTGCCCTCTGCACCCCTCAGGTACATGGGTGTTAATAAGAATCATTGAACCCCATTCTTCAAGTCAGGAGTCTCTCTACCAACATTCATCCAATCCCTGCAGTGAGAAGGAGCTTACTACTTGAGGAGTCTGGTTCCACGGAAGTTAGAACAGAGGTGTGACCACATGGCCCAATTCCATATTCCAGGAATTGGGGTCTCATTTTCTCTATTCTGAGTTAATTTATTTGTGATCTACTGGTATCTTAAGTTTCCTTTAACTCCTGTTGTATTAACGTCCTCCATTCCCCCTGTCACCAAACAGGGGGTTGTGATGTTAGCAGGATATTCCTATACTCTGTTAATGGTGAGTTTTTCTAATATGACCTACAAATGACAAAGAGAAAATATATAGAACATCAGCTCACTGACAGCTAGGAATAAGTCAAATCCAGATCTTCCTGGCTCCAAGGCCATCTTCCTAGCCATAAAGCCTAGTTGTTTTTAATGCACCCTGGCAGCACTTTCAGCCATAAACATGTATGTATACATGGATATGGGGAAATATTTCAAGGTCTATGAACTTGGGAGAGGGAAAGATACATCATTATTTTTCACTAATCTCCAACTGAAATTTGGCATTTTCTTCAATTGTGAATAAACTACTCCAGGGACAGCTAGGTGGGGCAGTTGATAGAGCCTTGCAGTCACAAGGACCTGAGTTCAAATCTGGTCTCAGATACTTGACACTTACTATGTGTGTGACCTTGGGCAAGTCATTTCATGCCAATTGCCTCACTAAAAAAAAAGGAAAAAAAAAACCTGCTCCAGTATCTTTGCCGAGAAAACCCCAGGGACAAGTCCATGGCATCATGTAGAGTCCAACATGACTGAACAACTAAACAACAAGAAATCTCAGAAGGGGTGCATAGGTTTTACCAGATTGCCCAAGGGGACCACTAAAAAGAAAACAAAACAAAGATGAAAACCACCTGCTACCCATATGACTCCTTGGCAAATCCCAGTGGAAACCATACTTCTAAAAGTTATGATGAAATTTCTAGCTCAGCTGAAGAACCACAAAATCCAGACAACCTTCCTCATCTCTCACTAGTGCCTGCCAACCTAGTCAATGTTGTAGCATTGACTGGTGCCAGGGAAGCGGCACTGGGTTTGAATCCTGCCTGCCAGACAGCTAACTGTGGGTTCTTCACTTCACCTGCATGTAGAATGAGAAGGGGGACTAGGGAACCTATAAGACCCCTTCTCTCATGGTGACCCAACACACATTATTGATCACCAATGCTTATAGAAGAATCAGTGCTCACAATACATGGGGCACGTGGGAAGCTATTAAAACTTTCGTTAGTCATAGCTTGATTTCGTAAAATTGGAATCACTCTGACCTTGAGCCCCAAGCCTAGGGGCTTGGCTAATGTATTTGCTAATATAACTTATACATGTATATGTGTAAATAATAAGAACCAACATATATATCAAGTCTTGCAAAGCATTTTATTTTATTTTTTAAATTTATTTATTTTTAGTTTTCAACATTCACTTCCACAAGCTTTTGAGTTCCAAATTTTCTTCCCCTCTCTCCGCTTCTCTCACCCCAAGATAACATGCAATCTGATATAGGTTCTATATGTACAGTCATACTAAACATATTTTCACATTAGTCATGTTGTGGAGAAGAATTAGAACTAACGTGAGAAACTATGAAAAAGAAGAAAAAAAAAGAAAAAAAAGAGAGAGCAAATAATATGCTTTAATCTATATTCACACTCCGTAGTCCTTTTTCTGGATATGGATAACATTTTCCATAATGAGTCCTTTGTAATTGTCTTGGATCCTTGCATTGCTAATAAGAGATGAGTCTATCAAAGTTAGTCATTGCACAGTGTGGCTGTTACTGTGTACAATGTTCTCCTGGTTCTGTTCACTTCACTCAGCATCAGTTCATGCAAGTCTTTCCAGGTTTTTCTGAAGTCCACCTGCTCATCATTTCTTATAGCACAATAGTATTCTATTGCATTCATAGACCATGACTTGTTCTGCCATTCCTTTGCAAAGCACTTTCAACACAAACACTGTAGAATAGGTACTGGTATTTTCCTTTCCATTTAACAGATAAGAAAACTGAAGCTCAAATAGGTTTAGTGATGTGCCTGTGTTCACATAGTTCGTAAGTATCCAAAGTAGGATTTGGGCCCAAGTCTTCCTGCCTACAAGTCCAATGCTCCTAAAGATTATGGTCTTTCAGGTGACTCTTCCATGGAGGTTGATATTGCAGTTTAATCCAAACAGAGGAACAAAGCCAGAGGGCTAGGAAGGGGAAGAAGAAAGTAGACAGATAGATCCTTGACTGTCTAAACTCTGATTAAACTTCAAGCTAAGATCTTCATCCAATACTGTAATATTTTTAGGAAGAAAGGTCTTCTAGGGGGAATTGAGGGAGATTGAAAGAATATTGGATTGGACTTCAGAAGTTACAACTATGTGTCTGAATTGATCCATCCAGTGTGCTTTTTGAGCCTTATAGCTTCATCGAAATAGGAGCTGCTGCTGTTTTTCTCACTCTACAAGTTCTACATTTGTTTTCAGAGATAGGGCACCCTCCTGGGATCTGGGATTCCAGTCAGAGGGAGAAATACCCTTCGCAGGAGGCTCCAGATGAAATGCCCTGGAGGCAACCTTCTCGCCTTTATGTCCCTCCTAAGCCATCAGTGTGTCTCTTTCCCATTGCCTCCCTCACAGGTTGGGTTTGGGGTGATTCTATAGGCAGCAAAAGAGGGAAAGGCTGGAGAGAGCAAGAGAAGGGAAGGATTTGGTGCAAATTAACACTCAACAGACACACGTTCTGCATCTATGAGAAACATCCGGGGGGGAGAGGAAGCATTTTGATGGTTCCCTGGTTTCTGTCTAGTAACCCCCAACTTCCTTGTCAGAGGTGTAATTCTCAGAGGTGTAATTCTGAATAGGAATATTTCTTCTAGCTGGAGCCCAAGGAGCTGGTTTATACCCTCTCACACCACCCCAGAATGGTCCTCTGGCCAAAGCCACATTCTACCAGCCAGCTGACCTGCTCAGGACCTGGACAGCCCACTTCTCCTCTCTCCTACCCCTCTCTGGGGTTCTCATCTCATGCCTCGCTTCAGGCATGTGTTTCTATTCCAGGACCTCTATGCAGTCGCAAACCTCATACGGCACCAGCTCGCCACCTTTGAGCAAGATGAGCAGCATCAACAAACTGCCTTCTGTCAGCCAGCTCATCAACCCTCAGCAGCGCAATGCCCTCACCCCTACGGCCATCCCCGATGGCATGGGAGCCAACAGTAAGCCTTTCTTTGGGCATCATTTGGAGCACACTGTGTGCTGTCTGCAGAAGGGTCTGGGATATGACTGGGGAGTGGGGCTGGTGTGGGCAAGGGGGTAGAATCAAGGACCAAGAGAGCCAGATGCTGTGGGAGGCCACACATCCTGAAGGACATTCATCTGGGCCACTGTGGGCACTCCTTCCACCAGCATTGATGGCATCCACTGTAACTCCATAGGGTCCTCAGTTCATAGATTTAGAGGTGGATGGAAGTGACCTTAGATGTCATCTGGTCCAATCCCATTTGATATGTGAGGAAACTGAGGCTCACAATGGATAAGTGACTAACCCAGGTTCATACAGCTAGCAAGGGTGAGAGGCAAGATTCAAACTCAGGTCTTCCTGAGTCCACTTGCAACACTATATCCCCAGGGCCCTAGCTTCAGTCTCAACCTGTCTGTTGCTTTTCTGTGTTTTGCCCTAAATCCCTCAGAGATAACCAACCTAAGGCTATGCATATAAGTGATCATTCCCCCAGTTTAGGTGGTTTATACCCACTTGAGCTAGAAAAGGCTCAAGGTACCATCATTTTTAGATGGATGGACTTTCCCCTTGCCCTCATCCAAAAGGACAAAGGTTCACCTTCAGGGCAGCCTCTTTGGGTTAGAAATGGAAGAACAAAAGGAATTTAACCATGTGGGAAGAAACAGAAGGAAGAAAAAAATAATATTTGACGCAGCTTAATGTAGGGAGAGGGCTAGGAACCAAGGCACCATGTTGAACACTCAACATGATCATAATATCAGCCTCCTTCAGTCCTTACCTCGTGTATGGACAGGAAGAAACTTGCCCAAAGAGAAGGTCAAGGGAATCCATCCAGTTGCAATGACTTACCCAGGATGCTCTGTGTGGGCAGGAGAGTTATCCTAAGAACACTCAGTCCACCCCAGGGAGAGACAGTGAACAGGGAAGTAGATACCCCAGATCACACCATCATAATCCCTTTAACTGGCATCTGTCACTTGGCACATAAGGATCTCATTGTATACTACAACCCAGGGAAAGAGGAGACAGGATTATCTACTCCAGGCTGGAAGAAACTGAGTTCTGATCTAGTCCTTCCATTTTACACACAAGTCCTGAGGCTGGGATTTGCCCTAGGTCACACAGATAGAAAAAGGTGGAGAGAGGATTCAAACTCAGGGTCTCCTGATTCCAAATTCCAAATTTATCATCTCCTAAACACAGAAAACAAAAGTCTGAAAAATGAAACAAAAGGAAACACCAGACTGGGGCTTTCTGTGCATCATGGAGCAAAGGAGAGAGAGCAGTAACTTGAGAGTCAGGAAGGCCTGGGTTCAAATCCTGCCTCAGACACAATCCTTTGGACCTCAGTTGCCTCACCTTTGAAATGAGAATGGGGGAATACCAGATAATCTCTAAGGTTCCATCCAGCTCAAAATCTACAGTGCAGATTCTCTTTCACTTTCCTGTTGCCTGATTACACAGTACGTTGTTTTGCAGGAAACTTCTAGCAATCCCTTGCCTAAGACAAGACCTAACCAAAAGATGACCATTGGGTTCACAAGGGTGTATCACCAAGTGGTGCCTGAAAGTGGGGTGTGGTGGTGGATGGAGAGAGGGAACCCTGAAGGTTCTGGGTCCACATTCTGCCTCTTATGCTTATTATGAATGTGATACTGGTTAAGTTTTCTCTACAGTGAGAGGGGTGGGGTAGCTAATTGCTTATGAGGTTAATATCTCAGATAATGAGATAATATGGCACACAGTAGGTGCTATAGAAATGCATATTCCCTTCTCCTCCCTTGTGAGGTCCCACCTTAACTTACTTTCCTTCCGTGGGCCTCAATTCCCTCACCTGCCAAATGAGGGAGAGGAGAGTGGACCAGTCTAGAACCATGATCCCATGAATCTCTCTGTGCCTTTTTCTTTTGGAATAGTTCCAATGATGGGTACTCACATGCCAATGACTGGAGATATAAATGGACTCAGCCCAACACAGGCCCTGCCTCCTACCCTTTCCATGCCCTCCACATCCCACTGCACCCCCCCACCTCCATACCCCACTGACTGCAGCATTGTCAGGTGAGTACTCAGACTCCCCCTTCCAATGTGCAGCCCTGGGAGTAGGGGGGGTTGGGGGGGCTTGCCAGAACTTGGGGAGCAAATCCACTGACATGGATCTAATGGAGAGCCAGTTGTGCCAGTTCACCAATCAAGAAGCATTTATCAAGTGCCTACTGTGTTCTAGTCACTGTGTTGGCTGTGTGGTGCAGCAGTGGCATCTTCTTTCTTGAGTCTGTCTCCTGCCACCTGGGAGAGATAACTCAGAGAAAACCCACCCAGCCCTGCTTTTAAAGGATGGGATTTGGGTTGGTCAGCAATTTTGAGTGCTTACTACGTGCATTTCCCAAGTGCTTTCTTTCCATGTGTTGGGCAGCGCTCTTGTAAGCACTGGGGAAACAAAGGGAGGCAAAGACAGTCCCTGCTCTCCAGGAGCTCACGATGATGCGGTGAGAGAGACACCATGAAAACCACTCTGTACAAACAAGGGGTAGACAGGATAAACTGGAATCAACAAAGGAGTATTAATGGGGATCTAGAATATTTTGCTAGAGGAGCTGCCAGGGGGCCAGTCATGGATCCCAGAGTGCGTAGGGGAAGTGAGGTATGGGGAGACTGCAAAGGTAGGAGGGGACCAGCGCCTGATGGACTCTTACCACATTTCTGTGTTCCTTTTCCTTTGATAATTCCACCAGTATTTGTGATGAATGAATGGATGAATTGGACATGTAGACATGGCTTCTCCATGCCCATATACTTGTGTCCTCGTCCACCTTCCGCCGCCCCTTCCCCACGTCCATAGGGTCAGTTTGCAGCTGGGGATGGGCTTCCTGAAAGGGCCTTTGTTCACCCTTGCTGTCTTGCTCCCTTTCTTTTCCATCCATCTTCACTGCTTATAGTTCTAAGCCAGCTGGGAACGAGCTGTATGGTAGGAGAGGAGAAGAGAGTAGACTTCATTTAGATGGGGAATTACCAGAAAAGGAAACTCCCTTTACCAACGAAGGTTGCCTAGAACATTGAGATGTTAGGTAGCTTATTCAGGATCACACAGCCAGAATATGTCAGAGAGGGGTCTGGAACCCAGGTCTTCCTAACTCTGAGTTCCAACAAGCTCACTCTCTCTTCACTACTGGATGCTGCCTCTCCATCCATTGGGAAGAGAACAAAATGAAAGCCCTGGACATGTTAGTCTAGTTCAGCTACCTACTGGCAAGCCCGCCTCTATAGGGGAGCAGGTTTCCTGAAAGACTGTCTCTGAGAAGGGTCAGATGCTACATGACCTTGGTGCTCCTTGGCCTGGGCTGAAATTGCATCTGAAATCATTGGCTGAGTTCTGTCTTATGGCTTTTTCTGCCCCTTCTCCCCCCAGATCAGTCACTAGAGGGTAGAAGTTTGGGGTTCCCTTTTTCTGGCTGGAGCAGTCAGGGTGAACTCTCGTTTTCTGTTTCCTCCTTCCTCCCCCTCCCCATTGCAGTTTTTTAGCAAGGTTGGGCTGCTCATCCTGTCTGGACTATTTCACGACCCAGGGGCTGACCACCATCTATCAGATTGAGCATTACTCCATGGATGTAAGTAACTGTTAGCCTTGCCTCTCAGTTCTATTTCTGTTCCACTCGCCCTCTGACATGTATCACCTCTGTCTTGGGGTTCAAAGCACGACCATTTTCTCATGGAGCTTTTCTACCAAGTCACAAGTATATTATTCATGATAAATAATAATTACAACAACTCACACTGGTAGAGCACTTTCAGATTTCTAAAGCACTCCACATATTATCTCAATTGAGCCTCATGACAACTTTGCAAAGTGGGTGTTTTTATTGTACCTCTTTTACAGGTGAGGAAACTGAGGTTCAGAGATATCAACTGACTTGCCTGGCTAGTAGGAAAGGCAGGATTTGAACCCAGATCTTTGCAAGTCTAGAACTCACAACTCCACTTTGATGTAGGAAAATTCACAGCAGCATGCTTTACGCGTTAGTGACCGAGAAGCCAATCTTCCTTGACTCATAACCATCCATCAAGTTCCTATTGTGTGCAAGACTATTGTACTAGGTCCTGTGGGAAATAGGAACGATGATCCCCACCTCATGGAGCTTATATTCCCAAAGGAATTCAAAGCCCTTTTCTAGTCATTCAATTAAGCATTTTTATTTAAGCATCTCCTGTGTGCTGGGCACTGCCCTTGGATGTGGGGATACAAAGGGGAAAGGGAATAGTACCTGCTGTAATGGAGCTTACATTTTATCAGGAGCAAATATTGGGAGTGTATTTTCTCCTCCAGCCTTGCGGTGGGGTGAGGGAGAAGATGTAGGGGAGAGAGAGAGTGAGACAGAGACAGAGAAGAGAGACAGAGGGGGAGGGAGAGAGACAGAGAGAGAGAGAGAGAGAGAGA